TCTCCAGAGAAAAGTGAGAGGAAAAGCTGTGTTAAATTTTATTCAACCCATTCTATGGTCAAAATTAAGTTAAGGTGAAGAATAGCATATTTGAAATTTTTCATTTCTAAAAAATATGTTCCTACAAAACAAATGAATGTTTTTGTTTTTGTTTATGAGATGAAGCTATAAATATCTTTTTAAAAATATGACCAGTGACTCTTGTTTTTGTCTCTCTTATATAGCACTTGTTCCTCTTGTGGGGAGGGGAAGGAAGAAAGTCAAATGCCCAGAGGATTTAGAGTGTGTTCTTGAAACACAAAACAATTTATAATGCAACCAATTATTAAACCAGATTCTATTTGCTTGTATTCCCTTACATGCTAATGTCAAGATTAGACGAATTCTTTTCAACCAGGGTTAAGACAATAAAGTGATCAAATATCTTTCTACAAGTGATGACATAACCTCGCTTAAACCTTGCCACATTCCCTCTTGCATCCTGGGCTTTTGCCACACTGGACTTCTTTCAGTTCCCAAAATGCACCCTGCTGTTCTACTTGGGCAACCACAACTGTTCTTTGCCCTCCACCCCACTCTCCCCAGCCCTATAGTCACCAAAATATTGAAATGATTTCCAAAATATGCACGCTCACGTACGCTTGGCCATTCCATTGTTTGTCATCTCATTCCCATTGTTGGGTTACACCAAAGGGCAGAGTTCCTCAAGGAAACCTTCCTGAGCCCTAGAACCACTGCAACACTGTGAAGTAGCCTCTCACTGAGGAGAGTTCTGCCTTACTGACAATTAATGAATAAAAATTATTTTACTCTCTCCTGTGCTAGAAATAAACTACTGATCCAAACTTCTGTCAATAGGTGTTTTTATCTTATTTTTAAAAGCCTATTTTAACACATCGATAAATACATTAATTTTTGCATCTCGAATTTTGACAAACACGGAGGTTGTTTTCCATTAACCACAGTCCTCCAGGTCCTGGGTTTCAAGATTGCTTCATACATTATCATAAAGTTAGCAAACTTTGTTAAAGAAGAGTTATTAAATGAAATTGTGAAAAGAAGTTGGGAATGGTGGTCTTTCCTATATTATTGCAATGTAATATTACATTTTTATGTTACATGAGGGATTATATTTACAGGTGCTCACTTATCTTGGATAAATATTACCTTTCAAGATAATTAAGGCTATAAGTATCTCAGTACTTCAGAAACCATAAAAAGTGGCATTAGCGACTCTCTTCAGGCCGCAGTTTCTTTAACTTTATAAGTTTTAGGGGGTTATATACCTTTGCTTAAAACAACTGTAAATTCTAATACGATTCTAATACAATACGACTGCAGTCGTGCCAGCCCGTGTAGCTCAGTGACTGAGCGTTGACCCATGCACCGGGAGGTCGCCAGTTCGATTCCCAGTCGGGGCACATGTCTGGGTTGTGGGCCTGATCCCCAGTGGGGGGCAAGAAGGAGGCAGCCAATCAATGTTCTCTCCCATCAATATTCTCTCCCATCAATGTTTCTATCTCTTTCTCCCTCTCCCTTCCTCTCTCTCTAAAATCAATAAAGAAAAAAAAGTATATAAAAAAAGACTATAGTCACAGACATGAAACATTAAAACTAAAGACATATAATATTATTAAATTATTATTTAATTAAAACTAAAAACATAAATGCATACACAATATGTTAAAAAGAAAACAAACTTTAGGCTTAAAAAGAATAGCACCTCTTTTTACCCCACAGAAAGCATATCCATAGTAATTTTCTTATTTTAGGGAATTAAAATTTTGATAAGAGCAGCTCAGCTGTAGAGAGTGTTTTGAAAGCAGAATGTGTTGGGCTTTTTCTCCTCGTATAATCGATGACAGGGTTTTCTGTTTCTTGTTTCTACTGCCCTTTGAACAATGCAGGCTTCTACATTCTCGATTTTCCAAGTTACTGTTTGTCTTCAGGACTGATTGAACAACTCACGTGAAGATTACCTACTACTTCACACCCATTAGGATGGATACCATCAGGAAAACAGAAAATACGATGAGTATTGCTGGAAAACTTGGGCATTGCTAGTGGGAATGCAAAAATGTGTAACTACTGTAGAAAATGATATGGTGATTCCTCAAAATATTAAATACAGGAATACAACATGGTTCAGGTTTTTCACTTCTGGGTATATACCCAAAAGGAGCAGAAGCAGGGACTCAAATAATACTTGTACACCTATGTTCATAGTGACATTTTTACAATATCCAAAAGATGGAAGGAATTGGGTTGTCTGTTGACAGACAGGTGAGCAGATAAAATATGGTATATACATACAATAGAATACTATTTTAAAAAAGAAGAAAATTCTGACACATGCTACAACATGGATGAACCTTGAAGACATTATGCTAAGTGAGATAAGTCAGTCACAAAAGAACAAATAAAAATGATAGAGACAGAAAGGATAACATTTGTTGCCAGGGATGGGAGTGGGGAAGAATAGGGGATTAGTGTTTCATTGGTACAGAGTTCCAATTTGGAAAGATAAAAAAGTTCTGAATATTGTTACACAACAAAATCTGTACACTTAATGCCACCTAACTGTACATTTTAAAATGGTAAATTTTAACGTATGTATATTTTACCACAATAAAGAAATATAAGAAAGCATTTACTTGGAACTTGGTGTTTGATTCCTTCCAGAACTATTATTATCATAAAGGATAAACAAAAGAGGAATCCTTAGTAGTGGCGCCTATAAGACAGCCAGTGGTGAAAAATGAAAATGCAGTGAGCTACTAGAATTTAAAGGTTGGAGTCTTACTACTCCTTATCCATTTCTCCCACCCCTATATAGTTGGTTTGCAAGGAGAAGATACAAGCCTCTAACCAGACTGATGAAAACGGCCTATTAGTGTTCTCCCAGTCTCCATTCCACAACACCCCACCCCAAAGCCTCTAGACAGGTGCACAGAGCCAAAGCACCATCTATTATGTCAAAGCCATGGTGAGTATCTTTTGTTCTCTTAACTCCCCACTCAGCAATGAATAAGGTCTCCAGTCTTGCATTCAGAGCTCTCTACAATCAAGTCTATTCTTGCCAGGTGTATTCCCCAAAGAAATATGTTTAATGCGCTTATTTGCACAGCTAAGAGCAGTCTTTGCATTGTTAGCATAAAATAGGGTAGAGCTGCAAGACTTAGAAGCAGAAGTTCATTTTTCACCTTTACTGAAAGATAAGAAAACCACCTTCTGTGGGTATTACTTTTGTTAAGGACATATATGCCTTAGAAATATATTTCCTGTTAACTGGAGGTGACTGTCTGTGCTGTGATTAATATGTTCTGAAGGTAGTAGTGTATGAAGACTGTTAGAATTGCAGGAAACATAATATTCATATAATTTTCTTGTCAAAATTCTCACAATATTTCTTAATAATATTTATATAATGTCCTTGCCCAGAACAAGGTTGCAATGATTTAGGGAATTTGGGGGGGGGAGGGTTGTTTGCTTGTTAATCCTCACCTGAGGATATTTTTTCATTGATTTTTACATAGAATGAAAGGGAGCAGTGGGGGTGGGGGACACCAATGTGAGAGAGACACATCAGTGGGTTGCCTCCCACAGGACCCCATCTGGGGCCATGATAAAACCTGCAAGCAACCCAGGTGCATGCCCTTGACCAGGAATCAAACCTGAGACCCTTTGGTCCATAGGCTAATACTCTAACCACTGAGCCAAACCGGCTAGGGTGCAATGTTTTAGTTTTAATAAATTTCCTCACAAAGAATTTAGCAACATAAATTAAATGGCATAATTCAAACGGATTACTTCACAGGAAAATATATAAAACTCAATATTTGTTTAAATGGTAGATAAAGAACTATTCAATAAATAGAAAAAGCAATTATTAAAAATAGATCAGTTCTCTAATGGCATTATGGACTGAATTGTGTCTCTCCAAAATTCATATGTTGAAATCTTAATACCCAATGTGAATATATTTCAAGATAGAGACTTTAAAGAGGTAATTAGGTTAAATGAGGTCATAAGGGCAGGGTCCTAATCTGATACGACTGGTGTCCTTATGAAAAGATGCCAGGAACACACAGGGGAACCCGTGGAAGGACCCAGCAAGGAGGCAGCTGCCTGCAGGGCCAGGAGAGAGCAGCCCAGGAGAAACCAGCCTTGCAGGCACAACGGTCTTGGACTTCAGGCTTCAGAACTTTGAGAAACACATTTCTGTCGTTTAAGCCACAGAAATGTATTTCTGCGGTCTTTTTTGACGGCAGCCCATGCACTCCAGAACAAATGACAAGTCAAGAAGAAAAATAATATAGTGATATGGAAAGAGAGAAAAAGACAGAGAAAGGAGGGAGATGTCATAAACCCAGACATATATACAGACATTGTGAGATACGATGTCATGAAATAGCATTTCGCAGTCTTTTAAGAAATTGTTGGTAAAGACGTCCGAATCACAAACTTTCTTCTACTATTTACATAGACATATGTTAGAACTGGCCCTGATGAACAGATGAACTCAGAGTGAAGCCCCGACTCCATTTTCAAGGCACAGATTCCCACATCTGTGTTTAGAGAGGCCGCATTCAGAAAACCGTCAATGTGCAGCCATGAAACCGACCTTGGATTTTTTTGGTCCTCAAATTGTCATGCTCCTAACAAATGTCCATTGGCCTCCATGAAAGTATTTTATTGATACTCTAAGTGTCATGACAAAAATAGTTGCTATCGTATTTGGGGCAAACCATTGTGATTATTACTTGGCTATTAACTGCTCTTCAAATACAAATTAATACACATATTTAGGAGTTAAGGCAGTCAACAAGATTTACGTAAGATACGACGACAGAAATAAAGCAGTGCTTCAGGAACAAATAAAGAATCATTTAAGGAAAGAAATAGGTCCACAGTTAAATTTCACGTTATATCAGAATTAACCCAGTAATTTGCCAGGAAAATGGTCATTCAACTCTATGTCCACTTTTACAAATACTTACAGTACTGTACTCGGAGAAACTAGGAAATCTGAAGTCACAAGCCAAAGAGGAAGACCTTATTGACACGATGCCTCTCCAGTCATAGAATGCTTTCTCTGTGAGAAATATCATGGCAGGTTAAAACAATATTTATCCAGGAAAAGTACACACTGATCATACTGCTTACTGTTACAGAAAAGAAAGTAAATCATCTTTAGGGCCCCATTATTCTGTATTAAAATCACATCTTGTCATCTAATCAGAAAGAAATGAAGTGATAGCATTGCAGAGAGAGAGACTTCAGTTAATTGGCTTTCTCATACAGGAAAGCCCTCGTGTTTTTATTGCATACGGTGTGCGCATCAGAAAATTAATAGACTCCTTCTTCTATCTCCCTTCTCTTTAAGAACACTGACTTCTTTTTTAAAATGAGACTGAAAGCAAAATCATATTTGTGCGTAGAACTTAAAAAATAAATGGAAAACCCTTTTTCCTGTTAATGTAAGTACTTTAAAGGAAAATTCGGGATTATGAAGGCACAAGTTTTGAAATTGCAAAGTAAATGAAATTATTAAAAGCATTTAAGGTAAATAGGTTGAAAGAGCAAAAGATAGGCCCATGTATTTCTTCTCACTGGCCATTGTTACATAGGATTTCTGAAGAAAATGTTTATCTTTTTTTTTTATGAGGAGGAGAAGATTTAAGATTTATTTCTCAGAAATACGAATCATTTTAGAGCAAAAATCAGTTCAATTCTGCCATCCAAGTGAATCAAACTATTCTCACATTTCCATTTTTCTTTCTAATACTTATTCATATACATATATTCTTTCCTGAAACTTTCAATTTACCACAGTCATCCATGGACTCGTTCATCTTATGTAAATTTAGAGAAAACTCAAAATTAATAAATTCTTTCACTTCATTGCTTTAATTTATTTACAGAATCATAAGTTAAGTGTCTCAGAGGGAGGCAGAGCAGTAATATAAAATAGTATGTGCTACCATCTCAGAGACATCCTAACCAAACACGTGTGCGTGCACACGCACACACACAACCTAGCCCATTTTAATTTTATAGGTATTTCTTCCATTTCAGTCAAAAAAGAGTCTCTGACCTCTATCAAAAAGGCAAACTCTCTAGTAGAGGCATCATAATAAATTGTATATTTCAATCACAACTTAACATAAACAAATGAAATATTTTTATTGTATATATATTTTTTTCCTTTTTATTGAATTTATTAGGGTGACACTAGTTAACAAAATTATACAAGTTTCAGGTGTACAAATCCACAACTTGTCATCTGTACACTATATTGTGTGTTCATCACCCCAAGTCAAGTCTCCTTCCATCACCATTTATCCCCCTGTACCTTCCTCCATCTCTCCCACCCATCTCCCCCTGGTAATCCCCACTGTTGTCCTTATCCACAAGTTTTTTCCCCTTTTTTTTTCTCAGTCTTTTCACCCCCCCCCCCATACTCCCAAAAGCTGTCATCCTGCTCTCTGTATATGAGTCTGTCTCTATTTTGCTTGATAGTTCATTTTGTTCATTAGATTCCACAAAAGAGTGAAATCTTACGGTACTTGTTTTTCTCTGGAAGTAAACGTCAACAATGGGGAGATTATAGAGGACCTGAAAAAATCCTCTTCTGAGAAGCAAAAGGCCATGCATGCTATACTTTAAGGACTCTCAGACCCAGGAGAATACAAAAAGAAAGCATAAGAGTTATTTGAGATGTAAGTCTTCACCTTTCTTATGAAGCTCTTCTGACTAATTTGAAGCACTCTGACTCATTAACACTATTCCTGGCCCACCCACTTCCAATAATGAACTTCTACAATAAGTGTTTTCATGTATTTTAGGGAACTGGGCTCTCTTTCCCATCTCCCTTTTAAATGCATAAACTGCCCCAGGGGAAGGGCGCTGTCTTACTTGGATTCTCTGTGCTTCTTGTTCATCAGCTCTTGTTCATCAGCGTTGTGATTAAGATAGCTACTCAACACTGGTGAGGAGGGACAGGCCTCAGGATGTGAATTCTCACAGGCAAGAGAAATCTTTCTGCTCATGGCAGAGCCCACCCCAAAATGACACTAAATGTTACACAACTTATCGTACCAAGATAGTCCAGAGCATTTCAAATCTGTTACCTTGTTTACCCACAAAACAAACTCACGTGGCCGAGAAGGCCATTTGTTGTTTTCTTCAGTCTATAGGTATCAGACGAGAAAATACAGCTATAACTTTTCCACTTCAGGAAGCAGTAAAGCCTCCACTAAAATCCTCCAGGTTAACATTCACACACGGATGTTATGCTAATGACTCCTCCTCAGAAGCCAGACGTATTCAGTGACATGCCACAAATTCTGCTTTATTTTTCAAAGTCAGCTGAAAGTTCTAAACTGATAGTTTAAAGATGACCCAAGTCCAACTAAATCTTCACAAACCCTTCACAGAACCTATCACCTAACACCTAATGCCACAGAGAAATAAAGATCCTGAACTCCAGGTCTGTGTGTGTGTGCACATGTGTGTGTGTGTGCGCGCGTGTGTGTGCGCGCGTGTGTGTGCATTTCTGAGAGAGAGATTGGGGCAGGGGGAAAAATCAAGAGTAGGATGCAATATTGATAGATGAAAAAATAAGAAATCTTATCAGTAATCCCAGTTTATTAACCAGCAGTAAGAATAAAATACTTTGAGATTAAACAAATCCGGGGAAATGCAGTATCAGGTTAACAAGGAGTTATTAACTACTAATTTGGAATGTAAAACATTTGTTAAATAACTACCCATATTGATGTCTTTTTGCCTTTCATTTCCTCAGTACTTAGTCATTGTGGAAAATAGTATACCACTAGTTCATGTTATTTTGTCGTCTTCTGCATGTCTTATTTCCCTATCCAGACTTCAAAGTTTTTCACTTGCTTTGTGTTCTCCAACAAAACTGAATGTAATTCTGTGCCCCGAGCATGTGCTCAGTGTATGTCCCCAGACCCATGTGGCATGGCTTGAAAGGTCAATCAGCAAAACTGTTAGGACTGCAAGCTCCCCAACAGTGCAACTGACATAAATATCTGAAGGAATAGTAAAGCCTGAAAAATGTTTGCTTTTTAATTCTACTTTTTTTCAGGACTAAATAGTGTTTTTCACCAGACCATTTGCCCTCGCTTGCTAGCATCATCTTGATGTTTACAATGGAAATAGTTTTGAAACACATTTCAGTTGGGTGTGGCTTTTTATTGTATCTCCCATTTTTATTCAAATCTATGCAGTTAACAATGAGCCAATCACTTACACAGGTGAGGGATATTTTTTAAATCTAATAAGAATCATTATTTCAGAAACCTGAATCACTCACACACCTGGTAGAAAGCTGGTAAGATTGTATACTACACCAATCTTGCCATGAGACTGAGAGAAGAAAGAAGGGAAAGAGGAAGGAAGGAAAGAAAACTTTCTCGCTCGTTAAAATATTCACCATGCCTGTGATCTTTACAGTGACAAACATTTCCTCCATTTTGCCAGTCGATAGATTGGTCCAAGTGACCTGAATATCAGCTAAAGATCCAAAAACAATAGACGTCCAACTTTTCAAATACACTGTTTCAGAAATGTTCAAAAGAAACAGTCTACGCAACTGCCCCCGCCAGAGCTGAAGACGTGGAGAGAAGTGCCCTGTGTCTCTATGAGGACAATGGCAGAGCCCAAGGCTCCACTGCCTCCAGCGGTCCTCTGTCCCCAGAGCTGCTTTTATGCCGCGCTTGTTGTTTTCCTTTTATCAATTTCTTTGTAACAATTAATTCTTTGAGTTAATTGCACATGCAGTTTTAATCTGTAGGTAATTACAAACAATTAATAGTTAGGAGACAAAATTAGTCGTTCTTGGTCTGATTATCTATATAATTAAGAGGGGTGGTAAACCAGAGTTGACAAATAGCATCTTAATCGCTTGAATAATCAAAGCCCAGAAACTTGCTTGGGCAGCTGAATTCCATCTGTTGTATTAGTTCATATTTTAGAATCAATGACTGGAATATCCATTGAAGTCCAATCATATTGTTCATTTCTAGTCAAAAAATGAACGATATGTATTCTAAAATTACTTAAGCTATTTACCTTCCTTCATTTGTTTATAATGAGCTGCTTCCAAAAGGATTCAGTAAAAATATTCAACAGGCTATGTTTATCTACTGAATACCAGTTAGTATCCATGGCTCCCAAATATTATGTTATAAAAAAAACCTAAGAAATATGGATAACTCCTTTTGTACTAGGTCTATTTAACACTTTTATCTAAGTGTGTCCTGAGTGACAGCAAGTAAGACATACCTTTAATCCTTTTCCTGGCTATCAGTAGAGACCAGCTGTTTGTAGATACAGAGCAAATACTTAGAAGCAGGATAAGCTTAATGTGAGTAAAAAAAAAAAAAACCATATGAGAACTTCATTCTGATCAGGATATAATACAGAACAGTGGCATCACTATTGCATAATATCTTTCTGAACTGCCAAGTATTTGAACAAGTTTGGCAGATGTTTCTAAGCTAATAGTGAATTAGAAACATTCAGAGAAAATCGTGCTTTCTGGCTCCGTGTGGCTTGCTACCTTGAGCTGTAGGGAACTCCCTTGTCAGCCCCACTAAAACACTACAATTCTAAAAGAAAAGATGAAAATCACAAGGTCACAAAAAAGTAAGTCTGACCATCCACCAATTTACAGAGGAGAAAAACAATGTTCTTTAATTAGGACATTGAAAATGAATTGAGGAAAACAATCAATTACCTTTACATAATAATGAAACCCCTACCCTACCTGAAAGATGTTAAAAATAGTCTTAATACCTTCCAAGAAAAAAAAAAAAGAACAAAAACCATTTCTCCAAAATGCTGTCTCTGCCTTTGAAGATTCACTTCCTTCTCCATAACCCTGTCCATCACAACCCACTTGGACAGTACAACTCCAAAAACACAACTAGGAAAGGAAGTAATCCGTATTGTAGTGCCAGGATTTAATACAGTTCTACTGTAAGGAAAGAGCTCCATTTAGAGGGTGGGACTGGTAGGTCCTGATAACAATGCATAATGGGTGTTGTGATTTTTATGTGCTGACTA